CATGGTGTTTAGCATATGACTTGTAATTCTTTGATATCAGTGAACTTTATGGTTTATTTAATTGCTAAATAACATGACTTCGAAGTGGTTATCCTCCGGCATTTGTCTACAGTATTGGGTTATAACAAGATCATTCCAGGTTTTTAATCTAATCGATCGGGTTTAATTCTATTTAGCTCCGCGGAGTAGCTACATCCTCCTCACTAGTGAAATCTCATGAGCTTTTTTACTGCTAGTAAGAGCCCCCATAATACGGTTGTATGCACCAAGTAAAACCCAGACATGTTGTTTGCTGATTTTCTGCCGCTGTACCGCACAACTGTTAATTATTGGCTCGCAATCATACTAAATATAGTTTTTGGCGCAATTTCTACCGTCAAATGGCGCTTTATCATTTCGTCCGAGTTTATTAAGGAAACATAGAATAATAACTGGAACGCATTTTGTTTGAAGTAAACTGTTACAGCTGGAAGGGTGCCATGAACAAGTGCCTTGCCGTCTTTTGTCCCGCTTTTAAGGATATCTTCGCTTCGCGCACAACTATGTTCAGTAGACAAGCCGCGTACTATGCGCCCGTGAAAATCTGGCAGTATTTAATGCTTGGACACAAACATTGCGTTCGACCAGGTCAGAACAGTCGCGAACCTTTTATCTATACCTGATTGCGGGCTGCGTTGCATACTCCCGACCGACTCCTCACTGAGGGGAAACGTTCAAGGGACGATAACTAATGTTTAGTTATATTCACGTGTTCTAGGAGTGGTCATTTTAAGTTTTGTTTTTTTCCCTAATATCTCCCAAGTATAGCATAATTTAGGATGTGCATCGACGCTTGTATGCATGCAAATTCTGGAATCGTAGATTCTAGCAAGCAATTTATTCCATCTGCTCGATTTAATTGCTGTTTAAGAAACGAGGATGTACTCGTTTTCGCTTGAAAGTATGCAAACCATTAATTATCAAAAATCCATCCCGATTCATTGAGTAGAATTTGTGATTGAAAAGCTCACGTTTCCAAGATAACGTGGATAGCTACTGATAGTCACACATTTTGCAAAAAAATAATGTCTTGGAAAATGTGCAAGTGTTGAAACTATGTGGACTGTTCCGCTTTTGTTGCTTTTGTTGTTAAATGGATTGCCACTACTTTGGCTGTGGCGAGCACCCGTTTGCGCATGCCTTTAGAGTAGTGTGTCGGCACCTGGTATATGACTTGAAGGGCCTCTCTCGCGCCAACTTGGTGGTTCGTATCGATCAACTGTGTGAGGACTGAACTTGAGATCGATCGATTTTCTCGTTTGCCGGGCCAAACTGGTATGTGTTCGCGCACCCTCTTTTCCAGGCGTCGCGTTGTTCGGCCAATATATCCCGCTCCACAGGAGCAGGTGAAGGAATAAATGCACATAGATGTGGCATGCAACGGTAGTCGGTCTTAACCCGCTCCCCCATCCGTAGAAGGGGAGAGTTGGTGAAGAATACGCGTAGGTTTGCCGCCGGGAAGGCACTTGTGACTGTTGCCCTTAGAAGTCGCCTTACCAGTTCGCTTGCTGCGTCTCCTAGGAAAGGCAGTCTCATGAATAAATCCTTTTCTGCCGTTGCAACGGTATCATCTGCGACACGCTCGTTGATGTTTCTGAGGATGAACCTTTGGGGATAATAGCCATTTTCTTGAGGTGTGTTTTGTAGTTGCTGCAATTCCACTTCCACTGTTTCAGGAGAGCAGATGCGTCATATCTTGTTTGCTAATTCCCGGACTAAGCTTCGCTTGAGATTACGGGGAACGAAACTGTGAAAATTAATGCAGTGCCCCGTCCAGGACGTTATCGGCACCTTGTATATGACTTGAAGGGCCTCTCTCGCGTCAACTTGGTGGTTCGTATCAATCAAGTGTGCGAGGAGCCGAACAACGCGACGTCTGTAGAAGGGGAACCACAGCAGACGCGTCTTCGACCGCGTTCCCACCCGCCCTCAGG